TTTACCAAAACTTGACATTTTTCAACTTCAGTCATTTGGGAAGGAGTTCAGATTTCCTTTTCTATACTGTTTTTTTTTTTTTAAGTAACTTTATCAAGGTATAATTTACATATGGTAAATGCACTAATTTTATGTATAGGAGTTTTGACAAATGTATACATCTGTGTATTCACCACCCCAGTGAAAATAAAAAGAAATATTTCTGTCATCCCAGTACCTTTTCTCAGTCTCCACCTATGCCACCATTGATGAAATTTCTGTCACTATAACTTAGTTCTTGCCTGCTCTCAAATTTTGTATAAATGGCATATAAGTACAGTAATGTTCTATTTTATGTCTGGCTTTCTGTCATTCAATTTAAAGTTTTGGAGCTTCATCCATGTTGTTGCATTTATCCCATAATTTCTTCCTTTTTTGTTAAGAAATACTGGGTTTCCATTATATTTTTATGAAAAAAGTTATTAAAGTCATAATAGACATGTTTTTATTTCTCTTGGGTAAATAGTTAGGAGTGGAATTGCTGGATCATATGTTAAGTGAATGTTAGACTTTATAAGAAAAGCACCAGACAGTGTTCCAGAATGGTCATGTTTTATATTTCTGCCAGCAGTGTGTGAGAGTTCCTGTTGTTACATATCCTTTCCAATACTTGGCACACTTAATCTTTTTCATTTTAGCTACTAGTAGGTGTGGTTTATTTTACATTTCTTAAGGGCCTATTGGCCATTTTTATATCTTTGGGATGCATGTTCAGATCTTTGCCTTTTATTGGTCATATTTTGGATCATAGGCCTTTTCCATAAGATTTTTCTACTCTATCCTGTTAATGTATGTTTTATATTGATTTTTTTTTTTTATTGTTAGGCCAACCTTGCGTTCCTGGAAAAAACTTCACTTGGTCATTGTTTATTATCTTTTTAATAAATTGCTGAGCATTACCATTATCCCAAAGTTTTCTTTAGAAAGTTCTCTTTTATCCTGGCCCCCTCCTCCATACCAATGTCAACCACTGTTTTGATTTTTCTTTTTTGACCACAGATTAGTTTTGCCTCTTCTAGAACTTTGTATAATGAGAATGAAACATAATGTAGTTTCTTTTCTCTGGCTTCTTTCATTCAGCATGTCTTTCAAATTTATCTGGATTGTGTTTACCAATGATTTATTCCTTTTTATTACTCAGTAGTATTCCAAGGTATGAATATACAATTTGTGTTTATTCCTATTGAATAGTTTTTGGCAATTATGAATAAAGCTGCTGTTAACATTCTTGTTTGAGCCTTTTTAGAGACATATTTTAATTTCTCTTGGATAAATACTAGGGACAATTGTTGGATTATACAGATATAATATATGTTTACTTATTAAGAAACTGCCAGACCTATTAACATAGTATTAGTACCATTTTATCCTCCCACCAACAATGTATGAGAGCATTGGTTATTTTATATTCTTGCCAATATGTGATATTGTCAATTAATTTTACCCATTCTGGTGGGTGTATAGCAACCTCTCATTGTGGTTTTGTGTTTCCCTGATGAATAATGAGCACTATTTTATGTGCTTATTGATCATTAGCATATCTTTCTTTGTGAAGTATCTATTGAAATCGTTTTTGCTTGCTCTTTGAAATTGCCTTTTATTACTTGTGTTTTTTAGTTTTGAGTTCTAGGAGTTCTTTTAAAAAAAAAAAGATTTTATTTGAGAGAGAGAGAGAGAATAAGCAGTGGGGAGAGGGATAAGCAGGCTCCCCACTGAGCTGGGAGCCCCACGCAGGGCTCAATCCCAGGACCCTGGGACCATGACCTGAGCCGAAGGCAGATGCTTAGCTGACTGAGCCACCCAGGCACCCCTCTAGGAGTTCTTTTTACAGTTTGGATACAAGTCATTTGTCAAATACATGTTTTGCAGATATTTTCTGTTTTCTTAACAGTGTCTTCTGATCAGAAGTTTTAATTTTGGTTAAGTCTAATTCACCATTTCTTTATTTGATATTTATTCCTGTATAAGTCCTAGAAACCTTTGCCTGCCACCAAGTTATGAAGATAGTGTTTTGTTTTCTTCTAGGATATTTAGCTTTTACATTAGGTCTGTGATCCACCTTGAATTAATTTTGGGATATGGTGTGAGATAAAGGTAAAGGTATTTTTCTTCTATAAACATTTGTTTATTATAGATGAAATACTTTTACACTGAATTGTTTTGGGAATTCAGTTATTTAAATTAAAATGACCATAGATGTGAAGATCTATATTTGAGCTCTCTATTCTTTTCCACTGATCTGTTCGTTAATCCTTATGTCAGTACCACTCTGTCTTGATTACTCGGACTTGTTTTATCTTCTTCCAACTTTGTATTTTTTTAAGAATACTTTGGCTAGCAGCAACTTCTTCCTAGACACATCATCAAAAGCAAGGGAAGCAAGGGCAAAAATGAACTATTGGGACTTCATCAAGATAAAAAGCTTCTGCACAGCAAAGGGAACAGTCAACAAAACCAAAGACAACCGACAGAATGGGAGAAGATATTTGCAAATGACATATCAGATAAAGGGCTAGTAACCAAAATCTATAAAGAACTTTTCAAACTCAATACCCAGAGAATAATCCAGTCAAGAAATGGGCAGAAGACATGAACAGACATTTCTGCAAAGAAGACATCCAAATGGCCAATAGACATGTGAAAAAGTGCTCAACATCACTCGGCATCAGGGAAATACAAATGAAAGCCACAATGAGATACCACCTTATACCAGTCAGCATGGCTAAAATTAACAAGTCAGGAAACGACAGATGTTGGCGAGGATGCAGAGAAAGGGGAACCCTCCTACACTGTTGGTGGGAATGCAAGCTGGTGCAGCCACTCTGGAAAACAGTATGGAGGTTCCTCAAAAAGTTGAAAATAGAGCTACCCTACAACCTAGCAATTGCACTACTGGGTATTTACCCCAAAGATACAAATGTAGTGATCTGAAGGGGCATGTGCACCCCAATTTTATAGCAGCAATGTCCACAATAGCCAAACTGTGGAAAGAGCCTAGATGTCTATTAACAGATGAATGGATAAAGAAGATGTGGTGTATATATACACAGTGGAATATTACACAGCCATCAAAAATGAAATACTGCCATTTGCAACGATGTGGATGGAACTAGAGGGTATTATGCAAAGCAAAATAAGTCAGTCATGAGAAAGACAAGTATCATATGCTCTCACTGATATGAGGAATTTGAGAAATAAAGCAGAGGATTGTAGGGGAAGGGAGGGAAAAATGAAACAAGATGAAACCAGAGAGGGAGACAAACCATAAGAGACTATTAATCTCAGGAAACAAACTGAGGGTTTCCGGAGTGGAGGGGGGTGGGAGGGATGGGGTGGCTGGGTGATGGACATTGGGAGGGTATGTGCTATGATGAGCACTGTGAATTGTGTAAGACTGATGAATCACAGACCTGTACCCCTGAAACAAATAATACATTTTATGTTAATAAAAAAAAAAGAATACTTTGGCTTAGGTTTTTTGTATTCCCATAAAATTTTAGAATCAATTTGTCAATTTCTACAATTAAAACTAGTGGTATTAATTCAATTTTTCAAATAGAGATAGGTCTATATATATTATTTTATATTTTTATTTTCTTTCATAAATATTTTTTTAAAGATTTATTTATTTCAGAAAGAGAGTGTGCCTGAGGGGGGGGAGGGGCAGAGGGAGAGGGGAAGCAGACTCCCCACTGAGCACAGGGCTTGATACCATAACCCCAGAGATCATACCCTGAACCAAAATCGTACGCTTAACCAACTGAGCCGCCCAGGTGCCCCTAATAAATTGTTTTTTCAAGATATTTGTCCATTTTATCTAAGTTGTCAAATTTATTTACATAAAATTACTTATAATTTTTATTATCTTTTTAATTCCAGTGGTATCTTGTATTAGTTATCTATTGCTTTGTAACAGATTATCCCTAAACAATGGCTTAAAACAATCAGTGTTTACTGTCTTATAGTTCCTTTAGGTCAGGCTTCACTGAGTTATTGCTTATGGGTGCTCCTGGCTCAAGTCTCCCACACTGCTGTAATCAAGGTTCATCCAGGACTGTAATCGTTTCTGATCCTGACTTGGAGAGGATCCTTGTCCAAGTTCACCCATATAGAATACTGGATCAATAGCTTTTTTTCCTACCTTTCATCAAATTAAAGATGTTCCACTGTCTTTTGACTTTCCTTGTTTCTAATAAGCTAGGTGTTTTCATACTGTGTTGTATTTCTTTCAAGATGCTTTCAAGATTTTCTTTTGATCTTTGGTTTTTAGCAGCTTGCTCATTATATACCTAAGTATGGTTTTCTTTAGATCAATCTTCTTTGGAGTTTGCTGAAATCTTTATATCTTCCACCAGATTTGGGGAATGCTTGGCTATTGTTTCTTTAAATATTTTTGCCTGCCATATTTCTAACCTCTCCTTCTGGTCCTCCCAGTTACACTTACGGTAGACCTTTTGATATTATCTGATAAGTCCCCGTGGCAGATTTTTTTTTTCAATCTTTTCTTCCTTCTGTTCAGTTTTAAAAGTTCTGTTGATTTATCTTCAGTTTTACTGATTCTCTTCTGGCTGTTAAATCAATCCAGTGAATTTTGTTTTTTAAATATTGTATTAAAAGTTCTTGAATTTCTATTTTGTTCTTTTTCATAGTTTCTTTTCCCTGAGCTTATTTTTCAGTTTATTCTGAGCATTTTTTTATTGTTGCCTGAGACATCGTTTTAACACGTTTTTAATATCATTGCTAATTTCAACATCTGGGTTATCTTCAGTGTTGGTCTCCATTGTTTTTTAATCACATCATTTTGATTCACAACTAACAGCAAGAATCCAACATCACATTAAAAACTATATATCATCACTGTAAAATTTTTGTATACATTCTCTCCCTTTTCTCCTTGTGATTTCTAGCAATGACCTTTTAAAAAATGGATGTTTTAACATGATCTCTGTTGTCTTTTGCAGGGCATCTTCTCTGCATTCAGTTTCATCCAAGTCATTCCGGGATTTCTTAGAAGAAAAAAAATCTATTACTGGAGATCATGTCAAAAAAGTTTGTTTTAAAGGAATAGAAAATTCCCTGGCTCCAAAAGTTGAAAGGTAATAAGTTAAACATTTTTTTACCTTAAAAAGTTCTGTATTGGTTTTACATTCTGAAAAAATCTTTAAAAATTTATCAGAGTTTTACACATTCTTTTACATTCAAAATTAACATGTCTATTTTTTTGTAGCTTTATTGTGGTATAATTGTCTTACAGTAAACTGTATAAATCTGAAGTGTACAATTTGATGTTTTGGCATATATATGCACCTGTGAACCCATTACCATCTACATTCAAGACAATGACTATAACAGTCATTCTCAGAAGTTTCCTCATGTCCCTTGGTAATCTTTCCTCCCTTCCCCATTTTACTCTCTATGCAGATACTAATCCTCATGTCAGTAGAGACTATGTTGTATATTCTAGTTTTACACCTATAGGATCATTTAGTCTGTACTTTTAAAAATTCTGTTTTACTCAGTATATAGTTTTTGATTCATCCAAGTTGCTATGTGTATCATTAGTTCATTCCACTTTATTGCTGAGTAGTATTTCATTGTTATAAAGCAACCCATATATCTGAATCTGTTGATGGGCCTTTAGGTGTTTCCAGTTTTTTCTCTAGCTGTTTTTGATACTAGTTTTTAAAGTTCAATGTATTTTAAAAGATGTTTCATATTTTAAATGCCTACATGGAACATGAAAATCTAAACATAATTTAAAAGCAATTTTCTAATAAAAATAGCTTTTCTGCCATGTTATGTAAATTCTTTTAATCATTGTACAAAAAGGATCATTCTTGGAGCATTAGATAGTCCAGTGTTGGAAGAAAGAACTGTGTTTCAAGTTGGTTGGCTAAATGGATTTTTTTTTCTTATTTCTGCTAATATGACATCTCCCAAAGATATTAAACCCTAAAGTATTTTAGACAAAACAAAAATGTAATTAAAAATGTCAGCTGTGACCAGATTAATATTGTTTTACATAATGATAAAGCTTTTTTAACACTATTTGTTAAACCATTTCCCCCTAAACCGTTTTTAATGTGAAATCTTATGTCTAATTCCAGTATTATCAAACAGGTTAGTATAAATTTCTGTGATTGTACCAAGAAGAGGGTTCTGGGAACCATACTATAGTTTAACCTCATCATATCTGCCCTGTAAGCAACTCCGGAGGAACTGTCAGTCTTCTAACAACAACATTGGAAATTATTGGTTTAGATGAATTCTTTAAACATTTTCGTTGTTGATATTGTGACTGGCTGCCTTATTATAACATACATTTGGGACCAAAGATCTTGAGCCATTTACTTACAATATGGAAAATCGGAGATCAGAAAGAATCTGAAGAAATCATTTGGTCTATTTCCCTATCTTTGTGAAAACTTTTATAAGTGGAACACTATAAAAGTCTTAAATGTTACTCTAACATATCAAATAGATAAACTTGTTATATGCTTACTTATGAAAAAGTGAGAATATTAAGGCTGGTTTGTTAGGATCATAATTACAGAACTGGATGTGATGCAAGACATTTGTAGTCTTAAAATTGACAAATATTTAGAGTTACAGTGATAAAATTAACATAGCCCCTGCCCATAGAGAACACACAGTCCAAAAGAGAAGAGAAACGTTACACAAGTAATTAAGTATATAAAAATCAGCCTCAACATTTATTTCAGCATTTAATTGTCTAATATTAAGAAAATTCTGACTGAAATAGTTATGATTTAAGATTCTCTCAGAGCATACTTCATTTAAACAGAGATGGCAGAAGAAATTTTCTTCTTGAATTGGTATAGAAATGAATTAACCTGGCAACAGAAGTTAACATGCCAGTGATCATCAATGTATTAAAAGTATTTAAATGCATTTTTTTTATTAGTTTCAAAATGTATTTCAGAAAAAAAGTACTAACAAAGTTTGGTGAACATTTTATGATACAATGAAAATGACTGAACCTAAACAATGTAAAACTATTCAGTGTTTTGTAAGTTGTATTCTTAAAGATGTTGAGGGAAGGGCATTTTATTCCATTCCTAAGTGACAGGTAGGTTTTTAAGTGTTGTTAAATTCTCACAGTAAAAATGTATATTTTCAACTGCATTTGAGTGCCACTGTACACATACACATGCATTTATGTTTATATATTTCTTTTATGAATGTGTCTATTATGTACATAATTCTAAAAAATTTTTTAAAAAGTCTGTACATCTTATTATGTTTTTTGATTCCAAATTTTTTTTAGAAATTTAAAAAAAAATTGTTATACTCTAATGATCCTGCATCTATCACAATATTTTTAAAAATTGAATATAGTCTTTTTATTGATATAAGAGAAACATAAGAATACCACTGGTTTTTGTAAGTTGTGTGATAAGTGATATAGACCAGGCTTTTAAATAGAAAGACATGTAACTTCCTTATTTTCTTACTGTGAAACAAATCTGCATCTATTTTTATTCATTTTTTTCCTTTCTTGTTTTGCACTGGAAGAGTTATTTTTCCTATCTATGGTTAATATTTATACCTGTGCTGGTATCTTCATTCCTTTCCACTTTAAATGCCTTAAGCTATTAATTATCCCTCTCTTTTCTTGTGGATATTCAGCCTTGTCCTTTTAGGTGGATACCTCCCATCTGGTTTTGTATATGTGTTAGATCTCTCTCATGTGTTCTGGGTGAGGTAATGAATCCCTCAGTCATCTCCCACACTTCCTTCTAACAGTTGTCCTATCATTACCAATCCCCTACTCCCTTCACAGCCAGATTTCTTAAAAGAGCTGTCGGCTCCCAGTCACTTCTTAATCCAGTCTGGCTTCTAGTCCCATTACTAAACTGAAATAGTTCAAGCTAAGTTCAGCAGTGATCTCCATATTGCCAAAACCATGAACTTTTATGTGACTCATTCTACTTGAAGTTCAATTACAGGTCATCTTCTCATTTCACTTTATATTCTTTCTACACCATTTCATGAGCTTCTATTTTCAGTTATCAGCTATACACTAAAGCCTCAAAAATTATATTGCCTGCCCACAACTATCATCTGAGCTTCAGACATACTCAGGTGTCTTCTTCATAACTCCTTCCTACTTGGATGTTCAGAAGTACTTTAACTTTGTCTAAAACCAAACAATGTTTTCCTCAAACCCCTTTCATAAAATCGAACAAAAATACAAAACAGCCCATTCTTCCTGATTTTTTCTTCCTGATTTACCCAAAGAAAACAAAAATATGAATTCAAAAAATATATGCACCCCTATGTTTACTGCATTATTATTTTTTACAATAGCCAAGCTATGGAAGCAACATAAGTGTCTGTCAATAGATTAATGGATAAAGAAGATAGAGAGAGAGAGTGTGTGTGTGTGTGTGAGATGGAATATTACTTAGTCATAAAGAATTAGATCTTGCCATTTGTGAGAACATGGATGGACCTAGAGGGTACTATGCTAAGTGAAGTAAGTCAGAGAAAGACAAATACCATATAATTTCACTTTTAAGTGGAGTCTAACAAAACAGAAACAGAAGAAACAAGCAAAACATTTATGTCTATAAATACAGATAATGGGTAGGTGGTTGCCAGAGGGGAAGGGGTTGGAAGGATGGGCAAAATAGATGAAGGGGATTAAGAGCTACAAACTTCCAGTTATAAAATAAATAAGTCATGGGGATGAAAAGTACAGCATAGGGAATATAGTCAACAATATGTAATAACGTTGTATGGTGATAGATGGTGATTACATTTGTGGTTACCATAGCATAATGTATAGAATTGTTAATCACTCTTGTACACCTAAAACAAATATGACATTGTATGTCAATTCTACTTCAATTAAAAAATGCATATATGAAATCCAGTTCTTCATGAGAAGAATGGAATATTCTATGGGTAGTTGGAAACAAAAAAGTATATCATGATGCTTAGTTTAAAGAATAAAGTTCTCTTTAAAACCCATTCTTTCTGAGTTTCCTTCCTTGTTAAATGGCATTTGCAAGTCTTTAATATTCCATCTTCCCGACCAATATTCAGTCTATCATCAGGACATGCCAGTTTTAGCTCTTAAATATTCCTCAAATCATATATTAAATTTTATCTCCACTGTTTTTACCCTCATTCAGATTACTGTGATCTTTCACCTGGGCCACCTGAGTAGCCTCCTAACTGGTCTTGGCATAACCTATCTTCCTCTCCTCCAATATACCGAGCCAGTTATGTTCTTTTTTGAAATGGCAGATCTTCCTGTTCTTAGGGTAAAAGATAGAATTCTTATCTGGGCTTTAAGGCCTGCATAGTCTGTTTTCTTCCAACCTCTTATCTTTCTAACATCTCTGGATTCTCATTATCTTCTTCTCTCAGTTTCTCAAATGCCATTTACTTCTTGCCACTTACCTCCCCTTTGACTAGTTGACTGATTCTTCTTTCAATCTCTATTCAGTCATATTCTTTGGAGAAGTCAGACTTCCCTTAGTGGGTCAGTTTTCTATGATATGTTCCCATAGCAATTCTCACTCCTCACACTTTTCACAGATTAGTGTGATTCTTTGTTTAATGTTTTCAACTACAAGTATTTTAATATCTGTGTATCTAACATATGTTCAGTGAAAGCATAGGAGAAGAGAGTCATCTCAGTGAGAGATTGATCTCTGCTCCTCACTGAATTACCAATGCTTAGAATATTTTCATTGAGAACAAGATGAATAAATGAGGTAAAATTGTAGCTGTTTCAGGTAACATTTGTTTCTAATGAGTAAGTTATAGTGTATGCCTTAGGTGTGTAAATTGTAAGGCATGAATATTAAGTTCATTTCTGTAATATTTTTACATTTTAAATACTAACACTATAGATTGAAATTTTATTTTCTTTGGATAAGTCTGTCTTACCATATTGAAGATCTGTGGTTTCATAGTTGATCACTAGAGTGTGCTATAACATTAAGGCTCTTAATTGTGAAAAGTGGCTTCTGCTATTATACTGGTTTGGAAATTGTAAAGGAGTGTATAATAGTATACAGTATTATACAGGAGTATTATAATGGTATAAAGGAGTGTATAATAGTGTCATGCCATCCATAGCTTGGCTGTCTGGTAAGTGGAAGTAAATGTTTTAAATAGCTGTATATTATCACTGATCACTGTGTAATATATGATGACTGAGAATGGAAACAGCTTGACTTTCATTTTTAATTTTATTACAGAAAAT